AATTGTAGCGATTGTAGCGGCATGTTTATTATGATTAATCTCCAATCTGTCTACAATATAGTGCTATCCACTCAGACCCAAATGACTGAAGTTTGATTTAACAACAAATCGAAATACGAAAAAAAAAAGAAATTAAGAGATATAATAATAATAGCCTAATAATAATAATAATAATAATTATTATTATTATTATTTCGTTCTGTTTGGCAAACGGGCAAACGAAAATTAAGCTAGATTTTTCGTATTTTTTGTTTGTGGGTTAAAAAATTAGCTTGCTATTTGTGCGTGGGTGGCCCTAAAAACGCCACTTTTTTTCTTAGCCTGTCTTTACTGTCTATCCCATCACACAGAATAAGAGTTCATCTCATGTACCACTCTGCAAATTAGTCACAATAACATTTCTTCAAACTGTCTGGGCTGCGTTTCCCAAAAGCTTCGTAAGCCTAAGAAGCTCGTAAAAACGATCGTACGACTGATCTTAATATTACGGTCTGTTTCCCAAAAGCATCGTAACTTAAGTAGCACTTGAAAATCATCACAGATCTACGAGTGCTCTGGAGTAATCGTAAAGCCCGAAGAAAAAATAGAAATAAACATCTAAATTAAATGACTGAACAAAAAAATTAATAAAAGAAGTAATTTAAATATGCTTCAAAGGGGGAAAAATCTGTCAATGAACTGACGTGCATGAAAACCAATGTATTGGACCCGGAAATAACGTCTCTATATAGATATTATATACTATAATATATATTTTTATATAAAGTATATTATAGGCCATATTATTATGTAAAGTATAATATTATATGTATACTATAATATAATATAATAGTTATTATATCCGAGTTGTCTGGAACGCAGCATTAGGTTAACATTTCAATAAACGAGCGTGTACTACAATTACGGGCCATTCTGTGAGGTGACATTTCAGCACTTGACAAACGGATAGCGACTCCTAAGTAGCACTTGAAGCACAGCTATGCGCGACTGTGTTAAGTGCATTTTTGGGAAACGCACGTGAAACAATAACGAATGATCGTAAAATGACTCGTAGAAAACGCTCATAAGTGCTAAGATCAATCGTTATCGAGAAACGCAGCCCTGGCTGTTGTATAGGCTATATTTCTTGCAAATATACATCTCATTATGAAGCACAACACTGCTCTTCTTGGTTCGGCGGCGCCAGCGCGATCCCTTAGGCTACACGATAACAGAGGAAAGAAATGTCTGCTTTATTTTCTATACTTCCACAATAACAACAAAACGTTACAAATTGCTTTTGTAAAAATAACAGGGAGCGCTTTCTGGCGCACCTTGTTATGTCTAAAGGTCTACTTAAATAAAACAATCGAAAACAAATTTGTGTTTATTTAATTCGTGTAGCCTAAATCCAACAAGAGGTACTATACAGTCTTTCCCGTCTGAGCTCATCTGTATTTTGTGCTCACACCCAGGCGCAGCGCAGCCTATTCCTTCAGTATAAAGCAAAGCCTGGAATTTTAGCCATAAGAAGAACGCGATGCGCGGTGCTATGCATCTCGTTATTACGACATAATTGAGTGGAAAAAATAATATGTGTGTGGCAGCAATGCGTCACCGTACATTTTATACCTAAAACCGCCAGCGGGTAAAATTTACCCATGCACATAACTACTGTTTTGATATGGCTAAAAAAAATGTATTATGCCACTGTCTTCACAAAGTAATGTCTAGAGTCATGAAATGATTATTTTTAGTCATCAGCTATGATTTTGTCCTGTTGTTTTATGTTCAAGGATATTTTAAGCAGGTTACACTCATCACTTTTCTTAACGGTGAATATAGGCTAAACCAGCCTGCAATGACAGCGAGAATTAGAAGGAAATAAATACATATTTGGGTGGTGTAATATTATAATAAAATGCTGTTAATCACATATTAAGATAACCCGTGTTATTTAAATTACTAAAATACACTAAATAGACAATTGTGAGCAATAATAATTCACAAGATCTGAATTTTATTTCATTTTTTTTCAGGAAACGGGCAAGCTAGAATAAATAGCAACACAGTAGCGAACAATAAACAATAAAAATTGCTAAACAAATGTTGTTTTAAGTTCACGGCTAAAGCAGGGTACACTCATCACTTTTCTTAACGGTGAATATAGGCTAAACCAGCCTGCAATGACAGCGAGAATTAGAAGGAAATAAATACATATTTGGGTGGTGTAATATTATAATAAAATGCTGTTAATCACATATTAAGATAACCCGTGTTATTTAAATTACTAAAATACACTAAATAGACAATTGTGAGCAATAATAATTCACAAGATCTGAATTTTATTTCATTTTTTTTCAGGAAACGGGCAAGCTAGAATAAATAGCAACACAGTAGCGAACAATAAACAATAAAAATTGCTAAACAAAAATGAATAATTAATACAAAGTTTATTTTAGCCTGCTCATAAATGTTCAAACTTTGGATTAATTATTAGTTTTTGTTAATTTATTATTCGCTAATCGCTACAGTGTTGCTATGAATTCTAGTCTGCCTGATTCCTAGAAAGAAAAAAAAAAAATAATAAAATAAATAAATAAACATATATACAGTGGGTACGGAAAGTATTCAGACCCCCTTAAATTTTTCACTCTTTGTTATATTGCAGCCATTTGCTAAAATCATTTAAGTTCATTTTTTTTCCTCATTAATGTACAATTAACTTAAATGATTTTAGCAAATGGCTGCAATATAACAAAGAGTGAAAAATTTAAGGGGGTCTGAATACTTTCCGTACCCACTGTATATATACACACTATATACACATCCTATATACACACATCCTATGCTGTGCAGTGAATTATTATTGCTCATATATTGTCTATTGAACATAAAACAACAGGACAAAAACATAAAATTTACCCCGTGGCGGTTCTAGTGTTAAAGAAAATATGAACACTAATTCAAGAAGAAAAGGGACCATATTTAGTTGTCAACAGCTGGTATTTAAAGAGCAAGGTGTGCCAATATAAGGCAATAAACACGAACAATTTACACAATATTTATATTTTGAAAAGGTAGTTTGTATATTAGGAACGGGCAGCATTATCGCCTCAAATGCTCAAGTATTGGCCGTTTAATCAGCCTGGCCATTATATCGGTCGTCATTTATGTTATAGTGTCATTTTCATGGTGCAATATCTGCAATACTGACCTGGCACCCAAAATGTCCTTCTTAGCCAAACCAATTCCACCAATGACTTTCACCCTTAAGATTCTGGATTCATCCTGAAGGAAAGCAAAATTATTCCATAAGCAACACAAACAAGAAAAAACATCAAGAATTAAACTGCCTGTAGATGTACGATTAAAACCGAATTAAAATGGCTTGACAACTGCAGAGGATTTCCTACTGAAACAGGAAGTCAATGCGGTGAGCTTTGACCCATAAGTGGGAGGGGCATCCTTATTTCAGAGAGCATTTGATTGGCCAAAATATGCAATAATGCAAGATGATGTAATCAATATTTGTGGTATATTTTCCTGGAAGAAATTTCAAATTGCCCATCTATTTCTTCCAGGAAAATAGACCTAAATATTGACTACATCATCTCGCATTAATACACATTTTGGCCAATCGACTATAAGTTTATTTAGTACGTGAGCATATCGCATAAACTCTTACTAAATGTCTTTAAGACATGTTTATTGATTATATCCCAAAATGTGTGTCAAACATGATAGCAACACACCCAGAAGAGCTACAAACAACAAATATATTGAAATTATATACGCCACATGTGATCAAAAAATATGTGACGTCATGTGGTATATGGCGTCATATACAGTACAGCAGATGTTGCGCAATACTTCACTTGAGTCACAAGACAACAATCAATGGCAATAAAAGAAATTGATTTTTATCACCTAAACAAACACATCCAAACAAACGCAAGCAAACATGGTTATGAGTCAGTTATATGTGCAATAAATTGATGATTACAGTTATCATAAAACAAAGTGGAGCAGAACTTCCTACTAGTAACCCAATCTCACACAAGCTGTAGACTGCCAGCCAACTGTTGTTTATGCAATTTCACAGAATTGCTATGACTGATATAACACATCACATGATATGACACAGCCGAATTCATTTACCTCATCCGTCTGAAGTCCTCGAACCTCCGGGAGGAGCGCGGCCATATTCATGTTCCGTGCCAGGATGCCAACCTGCGTCGATATGAACGACCGAAAGATACAAATAAATCCGTCAAAGAGCAGGTCACGCTTTGACGGAAAACGCTTCCCCGGGATATGACACGAGCGGAGAGGCGTTAGCTTGTCAAATGCATCGTGGAAACTGAAACTACGGCGATGGACATCCTCACGTCCACCTCCTCGACACGCCCCCACGGCGTCGCCCACGCCCACTTTGTTCCAGACCACGCCCACTGATCGAGGCACAGCTGACTCTTATCCAATGAAAACGCTTGACTTCATCGTCCCGCCCATGCACGCGTTTCCTAGGAAGTGCAGGCTACACACACTTCGCGATCGATTGTAGAGGTATGTGTTCAGTTTTAAGTGAATGCCGTGTAAGGTTAACCGCTTTACAGTCTATAGGATGTTTTCCGCACAGATTTTCTTAAATCTCGGAGAGATCGTGTTTATTTTATGTGCTCACATGTTCTGCACTGTTCTGATTTTGCCTGCCAGCTCATTTATTTCCAGAATCTGCATGCACATCAAACATCATTAGTACTATAGCTAAATAAAAATAAAGGTGACAAATAAACATGTTATGGGGTTTCAAATCAGAATATGACTTTTTGTTATGAAACAGGGCATAATTTTCATACTTCTGAGGAAACCAGGATAAATGGCTGTTAATCATAATCTTCGGGAAACACAACAAGTCAATAGGAAAGAAATTATAGATCAATATTCCTATTAAATATGAGATATTCTTATGAAAATGTTGCCAGGTTATTACTCCTATTATAACACTTCATTTTTCATTATGGTTTGCCCCAAGAACACATTAATATGCAAATTATGCAATGTATAGATATATTGTATAGAATGGGAATACCAGTTTATGGACATTTTACGCACATATTGCGATGCATAATGTAAAATATTACCTGCCAGCTCATTTATTTCCAGAATCTGCATGCACATCAAACATCATTAGTTTGAAGCATAATCTGACTTTCATAATCATTCATTTCACCCTGCAGATTCCACTCTCCCTGCTTCTTTAACACAATGGAAGTCAACAGAACAGGCAGAACCTTCCTCATAACCGGTGGAGGAGGTTATTTTGGATTCCGGTTAGATCTAATGACAATTTACAATCGTTCAATGTTCATTTCTTAGTATTTTCCACCAGTCATAGCACCCACACAAACCACTAGATGGCGCTACATACTATATTATAGAACAGCAATCCTTCAACTCAAATTAGTTCAGTGTTGATACAATTTAGTTCAATAGTGTGAATGTTGCAAAGTTCATTAGTTGTGAAGCAAACTCCTTTAAAAACTATAAAGCAGCTCTATAGAAGATACTGTTTTTCTCAGTCGCTTTGCTACACATTTTTTTTATAATTTAAAAAATGTTATATACAGTGGGGTCCAAAAGTCTGCAATCAATAAGGGATTTTAAATAGCATTTCTCCAAAGTAAAAACCTGAGTTGACAATTACTTGAATTTCAGAATTTTTGAAATATTGCAGAAAACTATATATTTATTTCATTTTACACCATTTTTTCATTATTTTTTCAGTATACTAAAACTTACACTTTTTTTTTTTACATTTTCCTCACTGTATAATTAAAGGAATAGTTCACCCAAAAAAAGAAAATTTGCTAAAATTTACTCACCCGCAGTCCATCCAAAATGTAGGTGAGTTTGTTTGTTCATCAGAACAGATTTGGAGAAATGTTGCATTGCATCACTTGCTCAGCAATGGATGCTCTGCAGTGAATGGGTGCCGTCAGAATGAGAGTCCAAACAGCTGATAAAAACATCACAATAATCCACAAGTAATCCACACCACTCCAGTCCATCAGTTAACATCCTCAGAAATGAAAAGCTGCGTGTTTGTAAGAAATAAATCCATCATGAAGACGTTTTTAACCCATTGCTTCCAGCTAAAATGTGAGTCCATAATAACGCTTCCTCCAGTGAAAAAGTCCATCTCAGGAATAGTTCACCCAAAAAAAGAAAATTTGCTAAAATTTACTCACCCGCAGTCCATCCAAAATGTAGGTGAGTTTGTTTGTTCATCAGAACAGATTTGGAGAAATGTTGCATTGCATCACTTGCTCAGCAATGGATGCTCTGCAGTGAATGGGTGCCGTCAGAATGAGAGTCCAAACAGCTGATAAAAACATCACAATAATCCACAAGTAATCCACACCACTCCAGTCCATCAGTTAACATCCTCAGAAATGAAAAGCTGCGTGTTTGTAAGAAATAAATCCATCATGAAGACGTTTTTAACCCATTGCTTCCAGCTAAAATGTGAGTCCATAATAACGCTTCCTCCAGTGATATAGTTGTCTGGTCTGAATCAGGAGAGAAATCTGCACAGATCAAGCACAGTTTACAAGCTCTAAACAAATATGTGGGTTGATTCTGATGTGAGAAACAACAGGAGATGGACTTTTTCACTGGTGGAAGCGTTATTATGGGTTATGGCCAGAAGTGATGGTTTAAAATGTCTTGATGGATTTGTTTCTTACGAACACGCAGCTTTTGTCTTCTCAAGACATTAACTGATGGACTGGAGTGGTGTGGATTACTTGTGGATTATTGTGATGTTTTTATCAGCTGTTTGGACTCTCATTCTGACGGCACCCATTCACTGCAGAGCAAGTGATGCAATGCTACATTTCTCCAAATCTGATGAAGAAACAAACTCATCTACATAACCTGAGAGTGAGGGCATTTTAATTTTTGTGTGAACTATTACTTTAAAGCTTTATTGTGATTTCTCTTTCAGTCTTGCCTGTGCTCTCCTTAAAACCTCCTCGAACGTTGTGCTGTTTGATGTGAGACCACCAAGCCAAGAGTTGCCCGAGGGTATCGCATTCATGCGGGCAGATATCCGTGACTACACACAGGTGGAAGAAGCGGTTCGGGGTGTGAACTGCGTGTTCCACATCGCCTCCTATGGGATGTCGGGACGGGAGCAGCTCAATCGAAAACTCATCGAAGAAGTGAACGTACAGGGAACAGAGAACATCCTCAGGGCTTGCGTGGCACACAGAGTCCCTCGTTTGGTCTACATGAGCACGTATAATGTAGTGTTTGGTGGTCAGGAGATTAAGGACGGTGATGAAAGTCTTCCTTACTTGCCCCTGCACCCTGATCACTACCCCAGGACTAAGTCTATAGCCGAGATGCAGGTGTTAAAAGCAAACGGTTCACCTCTGAATAACAGTGCAGGTGTGCTACAGACTTCCGCCCTGCGTCCAGCCGGTATATACGGCCCCGGGGAGGAAAGGCACTTGCCTAGGATAGTTAGTTATATAGAGAACGGGATCTTTAGGTTTGTTTACGGGGAGCCTGATAGTCTGGTGGAGTTTGTTCATGTGGATAATCTAGTGTCTGCACACATGTTAGCTGCCGAGGCTTTAACTGAAAAGCGTCAGCATCGTGCCACCGGTCAGCCCTATTTTATCTCCGACGGAAGGCCTGTTAACAACTTTGAGTTTTTTAGGCCTCTGGTGGAGGGTCTGGGATACTCGTTCCCCACGCTTCGACTGCCCATATCGCTTACTTACCTCTTTGCCTTTCTGACCGAGATGGTTCATCATATCGTGGGTCGGATTTATAACTTCCAACCCCTGCTGACCCGTACTGAGGTCTACAAGACGGGCGTCACACACTATTTCAGTATTCGTAAGGCACGAGAAGAGCTGGGATACGAGCCTAAACTGTATGACCTGGAAGATGTTGTGCAATGGTTTCGAGGCAGAGGTCATGGGAAGAAACACAGCCAGTCATCAATTAAGAAACTAATTTTAGATGTTGTTTTGGTGGTTGCATTTGCAGCAGTGGTGCTCTCCTGCCTTCCGGTTGTGGGACAGTGAAATGTGCAATGGCTTTCATTTCTGTTACTTATGTAAGGTTTATACTGACCTGATTTGTTCATTTTTAAAACATATGTTCATATTAATGCACATGAGGGATGTTATATTGTAAAATGTTGTAAAGAGGCACAAATAGGCTGTTCATTTTTTTATTTTATTCCCATTCCTTGAAGGGCAGTGTCCCCAGAGTTCAGGGTAAACATATTTTGTGGATTTTAAACAATATTAACAATATTAAAACACTTTCAGAAAATAAATGATGCCTTTATTTTGGTAAAAACAAATGGTTAACCAGCAAGACTGTGTTTGCTATATGTGATATGTGATTTTTTTTTTCGGTTCAAATTTAAAAAATATATATATTTTTTTAAATTACAGGAATTTCAAAATGTCTTTAGTGTTTAGTCTTTCGCTTGTTTACTTACATTTGATTAGTCACATAGAAATAGTGCACAATCTGAAATATTTGTATTTTTTATGCACAATCTGAAATATTTGTATTTTTTATGCCATATATTTGCTTTAAATTGCATTTATGTGTTTTGGTATTCAAAGGAACATTGCATACGTTTTATGAATTCATGCATTCCCTGAGAATCGAACCCATGACCTTGTCATTCCTAGTGCCATGCTGGACTGTTTGCGCTATCCTGAAACACCAAAATCCTGAAATTTTCTGTTTATTTCTAGGTGCATGTGAAAAACTATCCCAGATTTTCAGTGTAGTGTGTGTATATTTTGTGTTTTAAAAAGTTATGTAAAAGGCATGAATTTCATTGTACAGACAAAATATAAAAACAAGTTCCTAAAAAAAGTAGTTCCTTGGGTGTAGCTCCTTGCATGAACTATCAACACGTTCCGCTAACAACAATCACATAGTCATACAATACGGTCTATTGTTTTAGCAATTCAAACCAAAAAAACTTTATTCTGTCAAACATTTCACTTGAAAAGTGCGCTTAAACTATATTTGCAATAAATGACTTGCTCTGATATTTTGCTATCTGATATTTTAAATGTGACTCAAGTGTCAAAATACACTGTACGGTGACGGAAATGTAAGTTAGTGACAATAGCCTTTGTCACTGATGCACAATGAAATGTTTGGGATCTGCCCTTCCCCCAGATTCAACAAACATTCACTGGCCTGCTGTACATCGTGCATGAAAGTATTGGTGTTTTTGAAGCATGAGTTACCTGTGAAACACAAGACAGGTAGATCTAACAAACAGCCTTGGACAAGAGTATTTATTAGTACTAATTGTACTCGCAAGAATACA